TGCACATTCAGTGTCAGTCAAGCATGTTTTTCATACAAGTGGAAATGCATAGTAGCAGTCTTTTATACATTAGCCAGAATTTAAACAATGAAATAAAAGTTAGCAATAAAATGATAATTTAGTCCATGTTACTTTGTTAACCAAACCAATGGTCTTTGAAATTAAAGAATGGTGAGTTTTATCAAGGTTGATAGAAATTCAACCTACACTAGAAACCATGAATGCACCCACATGGCATGAAATGGAAGAAAATTACACATACTTTTTAAAGTATGCCGATTTCATTGATTGTACCCAGCAAACATATACTTAGAAACTTTCCAGAAATAATTATATTTCCAGCCGTTCTTAAGCCAAAAAATATATTTAGCAGTCACTCTTCAGTGGGTTTTATTTTGTTCCTTCCCATAGCAGTCATAAAAATAAAAAATAAATTATTATGAAATCTAAATTGACACACTAGTGGGATATTTGAAGATTTGATCAAGGCCAGTGAGAAACACTTATCACTCAAAGGTTTAAAGACAAAGAGCTACATAGAGGTTACTTTAAACATTAAAGCACTGGGAAAAGGAGAGTGATTGAAAAAAAGCAATGTAATTTATCAGAGGAATCACTTTCTACCTGCAGAGTTGATAAGAAAGCAGCTCAACAGACAGAGAGTGGATCAAATCATGTTTCCTGCAGGAATGTGTTAAAGGGCAGTTCCCAGGGTTCCTGTCTCACCAGCAGCTCTATCAGCACTCAAGGAAACCACAAGAAAAACATCAAAACCAAAGCAGATATGGAAATACCGAAAGACTCCCTGGTAAGTGCTCCACCATTCTGGTTGTGAAATACTCCATCCCGAAGGGTTATGGCTTAGTTCTTTGAACCCTTTGCTAATGAAAATATCTGAATAGGAGATTGGGTGGCAGGGCAGAGAAAGTAAAAGTAAAGAGAAATCTTGGTGACAACTGCAACGGAGATACAACAGATAGACCACAAGTGAGCATGGCACCCTCCAGGACTTCTGCTCTTTTACGCTCTATTTTCAGAATGATGGTTTAATCGCAGTGCAGTGCTGGCAAATGATGTTACCAGTGTCGTCTTCAAATTATACCTTATGCCAGAAATATGTTTTGATGATTATTTCCAAAATCACTAGCACAGCATCATAAAAAGGAATGAATGCGAGTTTAAAAATAAAAGTGCTAAGCAATTTAGAGAGTATTGGCTGCTTTGATGATTTGATTTCAGCATTGTTCATTGTTTTAGGGAACCTATACATACCAAAATTTATTCTACCAAGAAAGAAAGGGTTAAGATTGAGAAGTCCTTTGGGAACTTGGTTTCCTATCATTTAACCTTTTAATTATGAGGTCCAGAACCCAGGGATTAGACTTCTTTTAAAAATAAATAAATATTTAAAAGGACATTTTTTTATTTCCCTAGGGTATGCTACTTTCAGATAAAATTTTTTATCTTAAAATTACCTTAAATTGCACCTACTCTTCTTACATTCTTTATGTATTTATATAATTGATTTGGTGATAGTCATTGTTCCTTTTAGTAAGTTTTAAAGCACTTAAACCTAAAAAAATTCTCTTTACAGATTTATTGTGTGCATATCTTTTTGTACTCTAATAAAGAGATTATAAAATATAGTGCAGGCTACCGTTTTCTAAGGAAAAACACAAATGTAAAGTAATTATGGATTCTTTTCTGGAGTGATTTAAGAATAGAAGGTATTTTAAAAGTAATCATGATTGGCATTATTAGTTATTAATTATTGGTTATACTTCTATTTAGGATTCCTTAGATTGGAGTTTCATATGTATGCCTTAATTGGAGATAAATGCAATTTTTTTTTTATTCAAATAACACTTGACTCTAAAGAGCTATAAGGTCTTTTCTTCAAAATCTCTAAAATCATTTGCAGGCTATGTTCATTGCAAAAAAAAATTTCTTTGTTTTTCCTCTTATCTCATTTTTACTCTTGGCTTCCATGGTATCATCCCTTCTTTGAAAACATAGATGTTCCCTGCATTATAAAACCACAAATTATAAGTATATCTAAGGCTGCCCTTGTAGTGTCACCGAGAAAAAAGAGAGAGAATGAACGTGTGGAAATGTGCAATATGCCGGAAATTCAATCCAGCTGATGGAAAACTTTGATAGCCTGGCAGAGCCCCTTATCAGAGCCACTCAATTTAACTACGCCCCATTTAATATGGTTCTGACAGCTTAGGGTATATCTTCACTGTACAGAAGTACAAAAAAAAAAAAAAAAAAAAAAAAAAACACTCATTGTGCTTTCA